AGATCATCATTCATACCAAATCAAGACTAAAGACCAAAGACAATCATTATCAGTCGATCTCGACCCTACATCATCTCTAGAAGATCCTGAACGTCCAAGCCAAACTGAATACCACAGATTAGTTCCATGAATCAAGCCATTCCCCCCATCCAGCTTCAAGACCAAATCAAGGCCATTTAAGTCTAACAGCTAGTTAACAATTTCCCCATCATTCAGCTAGAACTTTGCTTTACTTTTAAAGTTAGTTACCGTTTTATTACATTATTCTGAGCATTATATAAGCTCACTATTATTGTACTTTCGAATCACCAAGAAATTATCAATCAAAAGTCTTATTTTGTTTCAAAAGAGAGTATTCTTTTGAATCAACATTGTTCCTGCGAATTAACAAGTTCTTTTGTGGAATCAGAGAGCTTCTTAAGGCGTGTAGAATCTCAACACTTCTTGTGAGGATTAGCCCTTGAAGAGTTAAGAGTCTAACCGTTGGTGTTTGGGGTCATCAAGCATCATTGACTACAAAATCACAAGTCATTCCTCCACAACATTCAGCTTGAAGCAACAGATTCTAAGGAGTAGTTTTGGTCCATTTCCAATCCTACATCATTGGTATCTGAGATAAAAGCTCCTATCCAGGTGTATTCACATCTTTTATTTTTGTTTTTTTCTATTAAAATTCATCTTGTTCAAGTTATTTCATTTTAAAAACCAAAAACCCATAAAAATTGTTCTTTCGCTGAATTAGTTTGCTCGAATTTTATAAACTTCATAAAAACCCAAAAAACTATTTTGTCTTTTGAATCTGCTTTCTGAAACTCTTAAAAACAACAAAAAAATATTTTACTTAAATTAACAGATCATTTGTTAATTTTTAAGACAGTTTTTCTTCCAACTGGTCTAAACTGCTTAAATTGTTTGTTCTTGCATTTGCTTTCATTTAGAACATATCTTTGATTTGTTTTGCTTGAATCTTGTCAAGGTACAATATGGAAGAAGTACCAGTCGACACTATGCAAGAAATGATGGCTATGATGGAATCACAGTTCGCCATCATCAATGAAAATCTTCAAGCTTTTAGTAAATCAATGGACATCTACCTTACACGCCTTGAAAGAAGAAGAGCTGAAGAAACCAACTTGTTAGACGAGCCATACCAACAGTACAAAGAGCCAAGACCACCTGATGTATCTCCATCTCAAGCAACAGACCAGATAGAAGTGGCACAAGAATTTTTCAAAAGAAGTTATCCACAAGAAGTGAAGCCTACTGCCCCATTAGAAGGAGAGACTCAAATTGTGCAAGAGGAGAACATGAGCAACAATGGAGAAAACCTGATGTTTATTAAGGAGAGACCATCTGCCCACGATCTGACACCAACCCTGGAGCTTGCTGAAGCCAAAACCATCCCATTCAATCAACTCTTGCAGCATTTACAAAACAATCACCAAGGTAAGCTTATAAAGTCTAATTTTTTTTCAGAAACTAATTTAGCCTTGTTTGATGCAGGTACTAATGTTTTGAGGACGAAACCTCTTCAAGAGTGAGAGTATGATATAAGAATCAGTATCATTCAATCTCCCTTAGACGTTGGAGGACATTCAAAAACCAAAGTGGAGCCAAACTTGCTTGTAGCTGAGGAGAAGGAGAAACTTGTAGCTGACTACAAAGGAGATAATGCTTCAAGTTCAAAACGCCACCGTCCTACACTTAAAGAGGAGCTTTCTGATCGAGCTAAACCACAAAAGAAGATGCTGGACCAGTTTAAATTAAAAGAGAACCAAGCCAAACCGCCAAAGCCACCAGATAACATGTTTGGACCTACATGTGCATCATTGGAGCCAACTATGGAAACTAAGAGCAGCAAGGCATGTTATTCGACCAACACAGAAGATATCACAGCCTTAAAACCAGAAGATCAAGTCAACATTCACATTATTTCGTCCCAAGTCAAAGGAGAATCAGCCATGAAAGAACTTTCCTTTTTAGAGCATAATATCTTTGCTTCTATGGGAAAGATAGAAAAATGTTCAGATCATCTCAACCCTCCATTCAAGACAAGACATCCTGGATGTTCATACCATCCCAAAGACCCAAAGATTCGTCCCCCCTCTCATTACCACAAATCAAGTCATTTCCCCCATTATGACAACGGCTAGCTAACACCAAATCATTTCACTTAGGCTAAAATTATTCCTTTGTTTTAATGCTTTTTGTTACCGGTTTTATTCACTACTTCTGAGCATTATATAAGCTAAAGTCTTTGTATTTTCAAGTTACCAAATTATTAATCAAGAAAAGTTTATTATATTTCAAAGAGAGTTATCTTTTGAATCAATATTGTTCCTGCTTTTTATTAAGTTCTTTTTGATTGATTCAAAGAGCTTGTGAGAAGTGTAGAATTTATTAACTCTTGTGAGGATTAGCCCTTGAGTTAGTAGATTCTAACCTTTGGGGTTTGTGGTCATCGAGCTTCAACCTGACTTTCAATCATTCAAGTCTTCATTCCATCCCCTTAAGCTAGAAGCAAAGATTCAAAGAAGCTTTACTTGAACCACATTTCAAGTCTTGCATCATTAAGGCATTTGTGATTTATATGCATGTACTTGTTAATTCGCATCTTTGAATAAGAACTTGTTCACTTTCTCCATATCCGTTTGTGATTTATATGCATGTACTATCCAAGATGTTGAACAAAGCAGCTGCTGACTGAAAGATTAGGTACCACTCGTATTGCCAGAACCTAAAGCTTACCCATTTGTGTTTTGCGGATGAGCTACTGGTATTTTCTAATGGAAAGAAATGATCTATTGAGGGCATTTTAGCTGTCTTCAGGGAATTTGCAGAAGTATCCGGGTTGAACATCAGTTTGGAGAAATCTACTATATTTCTAGCAAGTGTCTCAGACGGCAATAGAAATGAAATACTGGACCAGTTTCCTTTTGACTTTGAGGCTCTACCAGTGAGATATCTGGGCCTTCCACTTTTAACAAAGAAGATGACATGCCACGATTACACTCCACTGCTAGAAAAAATCCAAAGCAGAATAAGCACTTGGACAGCGAGATTTCTTACCTTTGCGAGTAGGCTACAACTCATTGCATTAGTTATTCAAAATTTCACAAATTTCTGGATTTTAGCGTTTAGACTTCCGAACAACTGCATATAGGAGATAGATAAACTCTGCTCTGCTTTCTTATGGTTGGGGTCTGAGCTGAATACTAAGAAATCGAAAGTCTCTTGGAAAGACGTATTCAGGCCTAAGGAAGAGGGTGGTTTGGGGTTAAAATCATTGAAAGAGGCAGATGATGTAAGTTGTCTGAAGCTCATATGGCGCATTTTTTCTGCTCACTCTTCTCTTTGAGTGAATTGGATCAGACTTTACCTTATTAGAGAAGGCTCTTTCTGGCCAGTTAAAGAAACCTCTTTACTAGGTTTTTGGATGTGGAAAAAGTTGCTAAAGTACAGGGAGGTTGTAAGAACCTTCACTAAGGTAAATATTTACAATGGAGAATCGAGCTCGTTCTGGTTTGACTAATGGTGTTCGCTAGGCATTCTCCACAGTGTAATGGTTGTATTGATATGGTGATACTGCTACATACAAAATGTCAACAGATCTGTCACTTTGAATTATGTTGAAGCAGCTATTGAAACGCTAAGGGAAAAAAGGTTGAATTTAAAAGAAGATACAGTTATATGGAGAAACAGAGAAGATAAATTTCAAACCAAGTTCAGCTCAAAACAGACTTTGCAACTTATAAGAAATGCATCACCAATAAAAGAATGGTATGAGGGGGCGTGGTTCACTCATGCAACCCCAAAGTACTTCTTCGTGACGTGGCTAGCTGTACTCAACAGACTCTCTAGAGGGGATAGAATGCTAAGTTGGAACACAACTGCAATTTCCTCCTGCATGTTCTGCAATGACCCCACTGAAACTTGTTACCACCTGTTTTTCCAATGTAGTTGGATAAGACAGGTCTGGCGAGCTCTTACTTGCAAGATACTAGGGCCCAAATACACAATACAATGGGAGCTCATTCTTCAGCAGCTGGTAGACAAATCACAAGGTCTGATTCATTTATTCTTCCTTCAATATGTTTTTCAGACCTCCGTTCACTCGATTTGGCGTGAGAGAAATGGAAAAAAACATGGTGAACCAGCTATCTCTCCCAGGCATATGGTGCAGTTCATCGACAAGCAAATGTGAAATCCACTAACAACAATCCGAAGACTTAAGGACAAGCATTATGAAGAAGGGCTTGAAACTTGGTTCTTACTTCAAGAGTAAAGCGATTGTGATAGAAAGTTTATCTCATTAAAAAGTTTCTTAAATTCAGCCACAATTTTGTAAAAACGTTTTTTTTGGTTTTAATAAATTTTACATTCGTTAAAAAAAAGATCTGAGCGAAGAATTACTAGTATGTAATTAGTAATTACTAAACAACGTTATTTAAGACTTGATAAACACAATGATTTAACGGGTTGTTAATCTCGATTTCTTTTTCGATCATTCTGTACCACGTAGAGTATAACAATTGGCCAACAAAAACTCTACTAATTATGTCTGACTCACTTCGAACCATCGTTAGAGAAGACATTCAAACTTAAGAGGAGGAACCTTATACAGTATTCAAGTGAAGACTATATCCAATTTCGAATATCCTTATCAATGGAGAGGTCTTATGCACAACTTATGCAGTTTCTTGTGGTACATTCGTAGCCATTTCGTGTTTGTTTTTCTGCGTCTAAGTGATCGGACAGGCTGCTTCTTCGCCGATTGTTTGTGCCCATTATGACTTCTTTCTTCAGTTAATTTTGTTTTCAGATTAAGCGTTTCCTGTTGTAGTTTGTATTGGTCGTTATTAGCTTTCGGTCTTTCTTTCTTTGTATCGATATAAAATTAAACATTTTTACCAAAAGAAATGGATTTAACACTCTTGAGTTTATTGTTTGTTCACAATGGATTACCAAAAAAAAAAAAAAAATTGTTTGTTCACAATGATGATTTGAGTCCGAAAAACAAATTACAAAAACCAACACTCTTTACAAGTACAGTCAACCACTTGTAAGAAATTAAAGCTTTCGATGATAATGTATGGTCTGAGAACTCTTTTGAGTTTATTATTTGTTCACTATGATGATCTGAGTCCTAAAAAAGTAGCCCTCAAAGCCCTTTTGGTTTTCAAAAACAAAGGATAACGTGATTCACAGTTCAACCTATGGGAACAAAATCGAAACAAAATAGCCAAATCCCAGTTTGATTCAAATATACAACGAGAATACTGTTTTCTCTTATACAGACCTCGTCTAACTTGCTACAATAAGCAAATTTCGTATCTTCTTTCTTACTATAAAGTCTGCATTTCTAGCATCAACAAATAATCAGTAACCTAAGCAAACTGGGAACAAAATTAAAACACGCAGAAACATTTGTACGAGAAACATCACCTGAGAAATGGCAAATGATTAATAAAAAGAGAAATCTGAGTTTAGTACAAAGGCACAAAGCCGAAATGCAATCAATAAGAAATATCAAAAAAAAAAAAAAACCAGTAGCATCCACGATTAGGAAAGAGCAAACAAGGACAAGAATAGACGGCCTTAGAAGCTTCGGGGATAGCAAAAGGAAAGAGATTAGAAAAAGAAAAAAAAAACACCAAACCAAGAACATAATATTTGGATAAACTTTTAGAATACTGAATAACAAAGTAGTTGGTCTCAGACTTAGGTCTCCTTCTGTTCTTCAGCAGGATTTGGTGCTGCTGCTTCTTTGATCTCCTCTGTACCTTCGTCCTGATTAATCCATTCCAATCAACACAACAGAATCAGATCATGCCAATGAAGAACATAAGGTTATTGTTATTATCACAATCTAAAAACTTCACCATTTGATTTCCAAAACATATGAACTATGTGGATGGACAATTCCAGAATCATTGAAAGTAACACAACAGAACCAGATCAGGTCAAGATGCAAAACTAAACCATTTGATTTCGGAACCTATGAACAATTTGAGTGGACAATTCCAGGATCTTTCATATCATTTGATTACGGAAACAAAGCACAAATCATAAGCCGGTAATGTTTACCATCATACCCATTTTCAACAGCTTGTAGTTTTGAATGAAACACATAAAAGCTGAAGCAGAGAAACATTCCAAGGATCAAAGATGAGTTGTTTACCTGCATGTCAGAAGTCCAGAGAGTAAGGTTGTCACGAAGAAGCTGCATGATCAAGGTACTGTCCTTGTACGACTCCTCTCCTAGAGTATCCAATTCGGCAATTGCTTCATCAAATGCCTGTTAAATCCCAATTTCACCTCGTTAATCACACATAAGTACCAACAACAAAATCATGAAACGACCCAAACCCAATATATGTAAACAGATCATAAAGTTTTTCGTCACCTGCTTAGCGAGATTGCAAGCACGGTCTGGAGAGTTGAGAATCTCGTAGTAAAAGACAGAGAAGTTCAAAGCAAGACCCAGACGGATCGGGTGGGTTGGAGCCAATTCGGAGTTAGCAATGTCCTACAAAAGAACAGATTCGCGAAGATGTATCATGATTTGACCTAGAAACTAAATCAATAGATCCCACAAAATCAAGTCAAATCCTGGATTCCAATTTCAGATCGGAGACAGAAGAGAGAATACCTGAGCGGCTTTGTAAGCGGTGAGGGTATGCTCGGCGGCGTCTTTCCTCTCCTGGCCGGTCTTAAACTCAGCCAAGTACCTATGGTAATCTCCCTTCATCTTAAGGTAGAAAACCTTGGAATCTCCGTTAGCAGAAGCCGGGATGAGTCTGGTGTCGAGAAGCTTGAGGATACCGTCGCAGATTTTGGAGAGCTCAGATTCGATCTTGTTTCTGTAGTCACGGATCGTGGTGACGTGGTCATCGTTGCCACGGCTCTCTTCCTTCTGCTCGATGGAGGAGATGATACGCCACGAAGCACGACGAGCGCCGATTACGTTTTTGTAAGCGACGGAGAGGAGGTTTCGTTCCTCGACGGTGAGTTCGTCTTTGTCGACGGCTTCGGCGACTTTCTCCATGAATTCAACCATCTCCTCGTATCGCTCCGCCTGCTCCGCGAGCTTCGCTAGGTAAACAAACTCCTCTCTAGCCGAGGATGATGCTGGTGCTGCCGCCATTTTTCTCTTTGTTGTTGTTAGATCGGAGACGAAAAGGCTTCAAGAAGAAGAGATTCAGATCTGAGAAAAAAGATGAGAGAGACGAGAGAGAGTTTTGTTTTCGAATTTCGTTTTTTTTTTCTCTGGACTCTAGAAAAGATATTTTTGTTTTTTTTTTAGTTAGTGGGGGGGGAGCGACGATTGCGAAGGGAGATTAAAGGAGAACCGTTGGATTAAATGTGTGAGAGGGAGAAAGCTGAAAGGAGGAGAGCACACGGGAATTCCCACCTCAACAAACACAGCTTTTGACTTTTCTGGTACAATTTGGGTCAGTTTTTTTTTGACAAAACAGCTATTTAAATACTTAATTATTTGAGTTTTGCCAAAATAAACACAAACTTTTTAGTGAGCTAAAATAAGCACAAATTTATATTGACTTAGCTAAAATAGGTATGAGATTAGTCAAACTTAACAAATATTAAACTGGTGTTAACTACGTTTATTATTGCCGTTTAGTTAAACAACATTGTTTGTAAACAAAAAAAAATCTCAACTTAAGAAAATTAAAAATTTCCAAATCAACGTCCAAAACCCTTAATCTACAGTTCGATATCTTCAAACCCTTAAATCAACTTTTTTTTCTTCAAAATCACATATACAACGGCAAATCATTATCATTGTTGCCGGTTATCGGTGGAGATATGATCCGAATGAAGAAACTTACATCACGTCGTGGAAGGGAACGAGAAGCTGATGATGGCGATGAGAACAACGGAGACGATCGTGCAGCTATACTAGAAGATGATTTCCCAATTATTACTGATGGGGATGGTGGTGAGTTAGAGAACGACGACAATGGTGGTGAGTTAGAGAACGATGACAATGGTGTGGCTGTTGAAGAAGAAGTGGTTGAAGAGTTACCCGACCAGTTTGGAGAAATTCAAAGAGAAGATGAGAGTGATGAAGAGAATGGAGACGACATATGACAATATACCAGATCCTTTGTCATCGGACGATGAGGAAGAAGAAGCACGTAGAGAATCCCATGAAGATACAACATTACCTGATGAAATTTTAGCCTTAGGTAAAACATTTGGTTCTGCTTCTGAATTCAAGCAGGCACTTCTAAGGTACTCTTTAAAAACTAGATATGATATTAAGCTATTCTTATCCACACAAAAGAAGCTTGGTGCGATTTGCTCTGATAAAGAAGATAATTGTGCATGGAGAGTTTATTGCTCCTATGAAAAGAGTAAACACAAGCTGCAGATTAAGGCATACATGGATAAGCACATTTGTATCAGGTCTGGTTACTCAAAGATGCTGAAGACTTCATCAATTGCTCAGTTATTTGAGGAAAGGTTAAGAGTGAATCCTAAGCTCACGGCAAAGGACATGGTTGATGAGATCAAGAGAAACTATAATTTGATTGTTACTGAAGATCAATGTCAGAAAGCCAAGACCAAAATTTCAAGGGAAAGAAGAGCTAGCCACGAAGCACATTTTTCTCGGATTTAGGATTACCAAGCAGAAATCTTTGGGAAAAATCCAGGAACCAAAATGGAAATTGAGACTATATTGGGGCCAGCTCCAGGAAGCAAACAAAGGTTTGATCGTCTTTATGTTTGTTTTGAAGTACAAAAAAATTCATGGCTGTCTTCATGTAGGCCTATCATAGGACTAGATGGTGCCTTTCTTAAATGGGATATCAAAGGCCAATTGATAGCTGCAGTTGGTAGAGATGGAGATAATAAAATTGTTCCAATTGCATGGAGAGTAGTTGAGATAGAAAATGATAGTAATTGGGATTGGTTTGTAAATCATCTCAAGGTGGATTTAGGACTAGATGATGGGAGAAAGATAACAATCATATCGGATAAGCAAAAGGTAATGTCTCTTCATCCTCTTAGATTCTGTATTCTTTGTCATTTTTGTATCTGCATTATTCATATTTATAGTCTTTCGTTTGTATTCCAGGGTTTGGTGAAAGCAGTTCATAATGTTCTCCCACAAGTTGAACACCGTATGTGTGCTAGACACATTTTAGGAAACTGGAAGAGAAACAGCCATGATCTAGAGCTAGAGAGACTATTTTGGAAAATAGCACGTAGTTACACCAAAGGGGATTATGAAGATAATTTGGAAGCATTGAGGAGATACAGTCAAAGTGCGTATGATTCTCTATTGAAAACCAATCCTCATGCATGGTCTCGGGCGTTTTTTAAGGTTGGTTCTTGTTGCAATGATATTTTGAACAATCTGAATGAGTCTTTCAATAGAACCATTCGTGAAGCAAGGAGAAAACCATTACTTGATTTGTTAAAGGATATTAGGAGACAATGTATAGTGCGTACTGCAAAGAGAAAACTGATTGCTAGTAGGTTAAAGACAAGATTCACAAAGAGTGCGCATGTTGAAATTGAATCGGCCAAGGATAAGTCTAAGGATTGTATTAGACACATGGCCACTGATGGTTTGCATGAGGTAGAATTCCATGGAGTTTCTTATTCTGTAGATATGAATCTACAAACGTGTGGCTGCCGGAAGTGGCAGTTAAATGGTATACCGTGTAATCATGCCGCTTGTGTTATCACCGCCAAAAAATTGAAATTTGGAGATTATGTTTCAGAGTATTACACAACTAAAAAGTGGCGGCAAACATATGAACATGGTATAAGGCATGTAGAAGAAATTAAGTTGTGGCCGAGGTTAAATAGGTTACCTGTCTTGCCACCACCCAACAGATTAGGCAAACGGGGTAGGCCAAGTAACTACGATAGGACAAAAAGTCAAGGTGAATCTACCTCTACTTCTCAAAAGACCAAGTTAAGCCGTGAGAAGCGTATCATTACATGTTCAAACTGTAGGGAAGAAGGGCATAATAAGTTATCATGTTCAAAACCTAGCGTTGAGCCTGAAGCTAAAAGACCAAGGGGTCGGCCAAAGAAAGATCAGGTTATTATAAAACTTTGTTGTTAACTCGTGTGACCTCTTGTTGATTCTAATGTTCAAATTGTTTGTGTTTTTTTTTTCAGATACAATGATGCAGACACGTGAGCTCTTGATAGCTAAAGTTAAGTGAGGTTCAAATCGTTCTCTTTGGTGGTCTCTTGGTAGTTTTCATGAATGCGTCTCTGAATAAAGTGGTCTTTTTCTGTTGACTCTCCTTCAACTCTCTTTGTCTCTCTCTGCAACTCTCTTTCATATCTCTCTCTCTCTCTCTCTCTCTCTCTCTCTCTCTCTCTCTCTCTCTCTCTCTCTCTCTCTCTCTCTCTCTCTCTCTCTCTCTCTCTTTCTCTCCGGTTATTACCAATCGTTTGTATTGTTTTTTATTTCGGATGTGGGACTTGTAAACTCGAATGTGGGAATGTGTTATTTTGGAATGTTATATGTGCTACTAGCTTTCAATATCTCTAATTATGAAATTCATAAGGTCTTACATATACTCAAAAGAGAAAAATTATATCATATGCACATTTGTACGTGTTGGTGTTGGGTGATTGATAATTGATGAGTAATCCCACAATACGAGGGTTTCATCTTTAGATGATCACTGATAGGTGGAATGTCAAGATTAAGTTACCTGTGTTTTCATAAACTCAAAAAGAGAAGATAGGCAATGACAATAAACATGAACCAAAGGCATACACAAACTGATTTACTCATGTATAATTATTTTATTTTTTGGTTGCAGTTTGTAAGTTTTTTTCTTTTGTAATAGAAAGTGCTTTTCTTAAACTCAGTTGACAGGAAGGGCTACACTTCACATATGATCTGGAACGCCTTGTTAGCTACGAGGCATTTGTTCTTGTTCGGATGGAGCAATACAACCATCTTCTTAAACTGTTTCTTCAGTTCTCTTTTCACAGTTGATGGTTTTAGCCCAATAAATGCTTAGTAATCATTCTCCCTACTGTGAAGCTATATAAACTTCAGACGCCGTGACCCACTTCAGACATCGTGACCACCTGAGATAAATCTTCCAAGTCTGGATACATTGACCTCTCCCTTAGCGTATAACTCCTTGCGCTTGCTAAACTCTTTCTCTGCAAATCTCCTCTCAGCGATATGCTTCGCTTCGAGAGCCTCTTCTCTGTATGCTTTCATGTACAGAATTACGAAAATTCTCACCAACAATTCTGCAAAAGGAATCTAAGACCAATGCTCAACGATAGAGGTCAGAAGACAACATTGTGACATCAAACGCAAAATACAAGCCAGTTGATTTCTCCATATTTGAACTTATATGATATCCACTTGAAAACTACACAAACGAAACTACACAATAGAACTTTTCAAAACTACACGAGCCTATAGACTCAAACTCATATCTAAACTACAACAACAAACCTGTAGAAGATCACAACTACAGTACCGAAAAGCAGATTTACAAATCTCAATCGATGCAAAACAACTTAAACGATACAACTTCCGAGATAATCTTTGTGAGAAAAGTCTGACGATTTCGACCCCTGTGAAGATTATTTTCAAAGAAGAAATAGATTTGGAGAAGGAAAACTTGAGTTGAGAATTAGGAATTGGGAAATCGAATTGGGGGTTTTTGATTTCTAGAGTGAGTTTTTTTTTTTTTTTTTTTTTTTTGCAAACAACATTCAAGATTAAAATAAACGGTAGTTAATATTAATTAAACGTTGTTAAGTTTGACTAATCTTGTATCTATTTTAGCTAGGTCAACATAAATTTGTGCTTATTTTAGCTTAATAGAAAGTCTGTACTTATTTTGACGAAAATCAAATAGTTGAGTATTTAAATAGCCGTTTTTCCGTTTTTTTTTTGTCATCTTGGAATAATATTAGAACAAAAACGTTATAATTTACAACAACTGTTTTGGAAAATAAAACCAAAACTAAAATACACAAGAAGAAAATTAAAGTAACACAACTCTAAATGTACTTAAAAACGAGCAGGCAGAAGAGAATCACCTTTCTTCATTAACAAAGAGAACAGACAACCACGATGGAAACCCCGAAGCAACATAAGACTGCCAAAGATTCATCTTAATGACACTTTGAGCGATGAAGAAAGCTCCTCTATTAGCATATGGATCTTCATAAATAAATCTCCACTCTAAAAACTTACCCAAAATCAAAGAGATTTCAGAAACCTGATATCTAAAAGAAGGCCAAGCATTTGGTCTTGACACTGCATCAACAAGATCTTTCATACTTGCAGCAAACACAATTTTATCAAAGTTATGAGCATGCATACAATACAATGCCCAAAGAATACTTCTAAGATTGGCCTCTGCCAAACTTCTAATATTAGCGAAAGATCTTCGATTATGCAACAAAACATT